TTATTCGATTCGAAATTTGGTGGTGCAAATTCGATTTAATTCGAATTTTTTCAAATTTTCCATTTTTTTTTCTTTTATTTCAACTTCTTAGTCGAGTTCGGAGATGTTTGTATTAAATATTTAACACCAAGTCATAAAATCTGTATCGTTCGTTCAATTTAAAAAAAATGAGGTGTCAAATTCAAATAATCGCTTCCGCAGATGTTTACATTAAATATTTAACACCAAGTCATAAAATCTGTATCGTTCGTTCGATTTTCAAAAAGGAGGTAGGTGTCAAATGAAAGGGCTTGCCCTGTACATGTGTAATATGGTTCTAGTTGTGTGCCATATGTATGTAAGAAAATCAAAATCAAATTATTTAATAAGTTTAATAAATTACCCCAATATGGGTATCAATCGAAATGGTTTTGAATAAACCTTATTTTTTAATTATATTTAGGAGGGGTGCCACCTGTTTGAAAAGTCGAATATAGTTAAAAAATGTTGTGCTTAAAATACTAAGCAACAATTAAAATATTTTTGAGGTGCTTGAAGAGAGTGGCCACCTGTCTAAAAAGTTAAACTCAAATTACACTATGGGACAGCAGAAACCGGACCGAACTTTGTTAACATTCTCTGAAAGTATACCCATCCAGTAATAAAACACTCGGTGGATTTGCAAAAGTTAGCTCGTAGTTTTATTTCATGGCCTACTAAAGTTTTCATGTCTCGGCCTAAGTAGTTTTAAAAAAGTCGAAAAAATAGTTAAAACAAATGTCTCAGCGAAATCAAAGTTTAATACATACATAGAAGATAATTTAGGTAGGCCTTCTTAAGTGAAGCCATTCTAAGAGGCCTACCCAAGAAGGGCTGAAAAAAGTGCTTCCTTGCATGCTTTCTAGAAGGGCTTATCCATTTACAATTTACGCGAATGCATTCATTTATATTATTTACCATTACAAATAAATTTCAATAAACATTTTAAGTTGCAATGACATATTTGATATAAATCTTAAGCAAATCCTTCAAAGATATATGATTTTTATAAATTATAGAGGCAACTTTAAAAGAACTCCTCCAAAAGGCCTTCTGAAGTACGTCCAGAGCCGAGTTATTCCAATTTCCGTAAATGCCTGTGAGTGCCTGCTTTGGTTTCACCATCTACTATCTATATATTAATACGCTAACGAAATCACATACAAATCTTTTCCTCCCTACTGCTCCTATGTTTCTCAACCAATTTTAATAATTCTTCTTTTGTTCGAAAGGTATTATTTTCCGGTAGGTGCCTGATTTGGTTGCACCATCTATGAATTTTTAAATTATTTAACAGAATGTATATTACCCCACCAAACAATAGACGATTAACAGGTGCTGATGGACCTAAATCACTTCCCAGGCAAAATGAAAAAGTGTGTGAAAAAAATGAAGTGGTCGAATTTCGACAACGCGGCGATACTAGTTATTATTAAAAGGCTTATTTTGACCCTTACTTCANTGGTTGCACCATCTATGAATTTTTAAATTATTTAACAGAATGTATATTACCCCACCAAACAATAGACGATTAACAGGTGCTGATGGACCTAAATCACTTCCCAGGCAAAATGAAAAAGTGTGTGAAAAAAATGAAGTGGTCGAATTTCGACAACGCGGCGATACTAGTTATTATTAAAAGGCTTATTTTGACCCTTACTTCAAGAGGATTGATATATTCTAGAAAATTATTCTCCTGGAAATTTTACTAAGGGTCTTCTCAGGTGAAAGCTTCATGCCACCAACGTAAAAGCCTCTACACATTCTCGGTTCTCAGACTTAAATTTAGGAGTACCATTCATGATGCAATGATCGGATCTAAACCAAATTACGGAACGACCCTGAGGTACTATCTTTCCGATAAAAAAAAAAAAGAATTATTGAAATCGGTTCACGTGGTTCAAAGTTATGCGGGAGCATACATAAAAAAAGAAAAAAATTTCCCGACGAATTGATAACCTCCCGCTTTTTTTTGAAGTCGGTTAAAAATGTTTAAGTTCTTCGTTAATTTTATATAAAGTGCAATTAATGAAACTTTAAAAAGTTCAGGTTCAGTTCATGGGTACTTACATACAACGTGCATAAATGTATTTTAAAGATATCTGAAGCGAATTTCGAGTATTTTTTGGTGATAGGCATATCTTTAGAAGTATAAAGATATAAATTGTTTTGTAGTTCATTTGTACGTACATATGTATGTGTGTGTGTATGTAGGGATTAAACGATACCAAGGAAGTATCGATACCTGTACTTGGAAGTAGCATCGAAAGAAAGTATCGATACCTACTTAATCGATATTTGTATATATAAGAATTGTTTATAAAAAAACGCTATCACATATCTATGAATTTTTGTCAAAATAACTTATGTGACGATCATTTTTGATTTAAGAAGAATGGTACTTAATCTTTTTAAGAAAAGCTTTAAATTTAAAAACATGTTTTACTAGGATGGCCTCCCAAAAAACAAGAAAAGGGTGCAAAGTCTGATAAGTTGTTTTGTAAAAACCCCACAGAATTTTGTTAACAGATTTTTTTTCTACGCATTTTATTTGTTATACATAATTATTTATTTTGTACAAAGAGAAAGCGATTGAGTTATGTTATAATTTATTTCATCCAAATTAACTAATTAATGAAAGTTATCTCTATTATAACACTGGTCAACAGCATTTTTGCTGAGTAAACATGGCCTATTTCTGAAAGAAGTAGTAAATAATCTTGATAATTTTTGGAGGACAAAGTTATAGTGTAGTTCAGGCCATGATAAATACAAACAAGTAATTTTTAGCAAAAAAAAAAAACCGACTTAAAAAAAATATATATATGTCTATATATTTCATGATCCGATGATCGGATCTAAACCAAATTAGTATGGGACCACCTCTGAGACACTACCTTTCGGTTGCAAAAAGAATTATTCAAATCGGTTGACGTGGTGCAAAGTTATCCGGTAACATACATAAAAAAAAAAAAAAAATATTCCGACGAACTGATAACCTCCTCCTTTTTTGGAAGTCGGTTAAAAAGAAGGTAGTTTCATTACTACCATTTTTTGATTATAATGCAGATTTTTGACATTTCTCCAGATGTAAACATTAAGAATAGCTTTGCCACATTGAACTTTTTTGAGAGGGGAGATTTTCTTTTAAATATTTGGGATTTAATAAAAGAGTAAAATTTGCATAAAAAAATTGCAAGTTGATGTGTTCGATAATCGAATTTGAACGCTTTTCTCAAGCGTTTAAAAGATCCTTTGAATAATATCGATGTGCAGAGATGAAGAAATAAAATAAAATCCAGTTTTGAAACATTTATTTATTAAAACACTTTTTTCATTTTATTCTAAACAAAATAAAATTATTTACATAAAAAAACTCTTTTTTTTAATAGTCCGAAAAAGACGCATTGTTAGCTATTTCGTCATTAAAGCATAGTCCGAAACTAGGCTTCGGAGAAGGTTGAATGGTCTCATTTCCCTCACAATTAAAGAGCAAAATTCAGAATTCTCCCGAAGTGAAGTATCTAGAAGTAATTCTGTATACAAAACTATTGTGGAAATCTAACGTGGAACACAAAAACTCTAAAGAATTGGCAGCATTTTGGCAATATAAACAGGTATGGTAGAGCAGATTCTGAATCAAAAGCGTGGGAAGTCTGCTTGCAAAACTTCAAAGAACTACTGCCGTGTGCTGTACGGAAGCTTTCTCTACAACACGTGGCGCTGCTCTGGATGCACTGCTGCACTTACCGTCACTTTGTTTCTTCATACGTAGGGAAGCCTTAAAGGCCACCTGCAGACTAGAAAGAAACGGATGCCGGTATAACACCGAGTGGGGCGAGGTGGAGGGGAATGAGTTTACATGTCTGCGGTGACAGACAAGGTGCACTTAGGGCATTGGGCTGCCCTCTAACTACTTATGTACCTCCTATTGTCCATAACCATATTATCTTTCATATCATGAAGCACCGAAATTAAAGCCTTACTAAGGCTAACGATTGCAAAGCACATCAAAATCCTTTTCGGTGATTGGCTTTAGAATAAACGAATTTAATAATAACTAATTTTTGCGGTGGACAACATATTTAGCGGTCTTTTGTTTCAAAGAAAAAGTTGGTTGGTTGTTTTTCAAATATGGCGATGTATGAATTTCCATTTTCTTTATTTTTCAGATCGAATACAAATTTCCTTTTAATTTTGTAATGACTAGGTATGGCAGCACGAAATGTCACAATCTGCTTAATTGTCAGGTAGTTAATATGGCGTTCGAAAAGTGACAATGAAGCTACCTTCTTTTTTGTATCATGGTTCAGGCATTCATATGCCCCTTGCTTAGAGTGAAAAGTTGCTAAGTTCATTTGTAGAAATTTTACAGTAGAGAAAAACAACCTTTCAAAACATTTCCTTCAAGAATTTTGCAAAAGGTTCCGTTGCAAATTAAAACATTTAGGATTTTTTGTGAGCTTATCGAATTTTCTGTGCCTCTTTTGGACTTAGTAAATTTGCCTTAAATTCAATATAAACGGGAAGAAATAAAACAAGCACGTTCGTTAATACTTTTGGAGACGTTGCGTTTTTAATTTACCTTGCTTCCTATAGCTGATTATGAGTTTTCATAAAAAGTGGACTTATTTAGGTTAGATGATAATGGGTTTTCCTTTGTAGGACTTACTTTTCGTTGGCAACTAAACCGCCAAAAATTTTTAACAATTCACAATTGGATTTTAAAATAAAAGTCCGGGAATAAAATTGTCACTGCATCGGGTTTCGATACAAGTACTTTCTTCCAATACCTACTCAGTACTCGGTTCAAAAGTATCGATACCAAAATTGCTTGGTAAAAGTATCGAGTATGTACTAGTATTTACTAGTATCGTTTTGTCCCTATGTGTATGTAGTTAATTATAAATTTGACCTTAACGTTAATATAGCCTTCTTCATTTGTATGGCAGTATATTCACAACATTGTTCTTCTATTACAGAATGCCGAGGCTAGTTATGACTTCAGCAGCAATGATCCATTTCCCTACCCGCGTTACACAGACGATTGGTTCAATAGGTGAGTTAATCTCTTCTTAAGCACAAATAAACACAACGGCAGTATTGTGCACGCGCGCAGTTACATACAAATGTGCACAGCCAATAACACTAAAGGCTGGTTTTCACTATGTCAAATTCAGTGGCATTTGCTATCAAATAACTGAAAACACATTGTGGTTGTTCACGCTTGCCTAAAAGGATCAGCCCAGCGCCTTCGTCTTGACCTGCAGGCTGTGTCAGAATCACAGCCGCTAAACTTAAACGTAGAATACGTAATATTATTAAGATCTCTTTTAAGGTAAAAACGGTACATGATATATTCGTTTTGATTGAATTTAATAAATCAGTATGAATTGCAAAATATTAATACTAAGCAATAAAGAAGCAGATCCACATGAACTTCAATCATATTTACCATCAGCTTATTAATAGATATATGCCAGGACGTGTATCATTATTTCGATTCATTTTTGAATCGACAACTGAGTTAGGGCTTTTTTGAACTGAATTCTGAGATAGGGCGTTCTTGAAAAGTTTTCTGAAATAAGGCCTTTTCGAACTGACTGCCGAGATAGCTCGATCTTCCGCTCAGGTATCGATTTCCTGTTAATATTCCTTTATGTATTTGCATGAAAACAGGTTAAAAAAAATGTAAGTTTTGTACTCCACTCTACTTACTAAACTAAATTTATATTTGGCTATTAGTTAAGATTGTCTTTTCAAATGGAACCATTTAGTTTACACATTAATAAGGATTAATCAATCAACTACATTAAAATTTTGATATACAATTTTCTAGGAATTTTTTATGTGTAGCGAGTAACGTTAACGGCATCTCTCCTGCTCGTTTGGATTCTGCTGTGACAATCGCTACAGCTGTCAATACACTTGTAACTAACGATAGCACATACACCTCTGTTACTGCGCCTACATCGCTGCCACCTGTTGCTCTTCAATCTACACCTGCTGTCTCTCTTAGCACTGCGTCTACTAGGCCATCTTGCTCGTCGTTCGCTAATGCTGTTTTGTTGTCTAATACTAATACTAATATTAATACTAATACTAGTTCGGATGGTTCTAATACTGTGCGTCAAGTTGGTGGCCTAATGTAGAGATGCACAGCAGAGGTTCACGCAGTCGACGAGCGTGCTAGGCCAGGAGAAGTGAGCTGTACGGAGATGGCATCGTATACATATTAACATAGTTGCCAACTAAGTCTTTAAGCACTAGATTTAGTGCTTTTTGAAAATTAAAACGCCAAAAATAATGGTTTAGTGCCTAGTGCCCTTTTTAGTGCTTTTTTCTGAACTAAAATTTCTGAATTTACAAGAATCTACAAATTTAAATGCACTAAAATGTAAACCATGATTGATAAAAAGATGAAGTTGCAAACCCACGTTCTTGCGTTTTTGTTAAATTGTATTCGCGTTGAAAATGCTAGCACGCAGATAAGTTAAGTATTAATTTTTTTATTTTCTTGATTATTGATTGATTACACAGTTCGAAAAATTTAAAATTTGTTTGCCACCTGAGTGGAACCGTTTTGTGTAGATTTTTCGGTGCTAAATCCAAATCTAGCTGCAGTTTCGCAAGCATGAATGTGTATTTATTTATACATGTAAATATTGTTTATTTTTTTACTTTTGTTTACCACAAACTGTTATGAAAAAGAGTATCCTTTGATAAAAAAAAAATTTAGTGCTTTTAGTGCGGTAAAACGCTCTTTTTCCAAGGTTTGGTGCTTTTTGAAACTGAAAAGTTGGCAACACTGCATATTAACCACTCCACAGTTATTTTCAAGTAAAAATGCGTGTATGTATGTGTACTTTTGCGGCAACTGAGCCAGTGTGGCATCAGGCCACCAGAAAAAGCCAATTTTTCCAAAACAAAAGCGCCAAATTTTTATTATCATCTTTAATAATTTTTTTGATTCAGTAAAAAGTGTATATACATATCCATTTCCTCACGTTTTTATTAATAACATATTTAATTTACCTATTCCTCACAATCGTGGTTCATGGGCGTAATAATAATACAGATCTCGAGGTGGTCATTAAGAAGAAATGGTTGCACATTTCCTCCTTTAAACCGTCTGTATCTGAGGAAAACCTTATTGCGTATGTATCTAAACATGCAAAGATCGATAGTACACACCTTACGTACTACAAATTAGTAAAAAAAGGAACTCCACTTGAGAGTCTTCGGAGCGTGAACTTTAAGATTGGTGTGATATCTTCCCTCTACAACAACATCTTAAATCCAAATGTGTGGCCGTCTAATATCATTGTGCGACCCTTTCGATTTTTTCAACCAGAAGCTGACCAAGGAAGNGTCTAATGCCGAATATACATGCAAAAATCTGAATATATACTTCCAGAATATGGGTGGAATGCGCACAAAAGCTAAAGAAGTCTTTCTTTGTTCTTCACGTATGGATTATGACATATATATCTTTGTGGAAACTTGGCTTAATAGTAATTTCTTCAGTGAAGAATACTTTGATCCCAACATTTTCCAGACTTATAGGAAAGACCGTGATGCTGAGAAAACTGGCCACTTCAAAGGGGGTGGTGTACTAATTGCTTTAAGGCGTTGTTTAAGGTCGTCATTTTTTGAATTGCTCAACCACGATACTTTAATTGACCAATTATGTGTGCGCGTTGTTGGCTCGTTCGGCTCTTTGTTTATCTGTGTATCATATGTCCCACCTAACAGTTCAGATGAGTTATATAACTATCACATAGGGAATATCCNCGCCAAATTTTTATTATCATCTTTAATAATTTTTTTGATTCAGTAAAAAGTGTATATACATATCCATTTCCTCACGTTTTTATTAATAACATATTTAATTTACCTATTCCTCACAATCGTGGTTCATGGGCGTAATAATAATACAGATCTCGAGGTGGTCATTAAGAAGAAATGGTTGCACATTTCCTCCTTTAAACCGTCTGTATCTGAGGAAAACCTTATTGCGTATGTATCTAAACATGCAAAGATCGATAGTACACACCTTACGTACTACAAATTAGTAAAAAAAGGAACTCCACTTGAGAGTCTTCGGAGCGTGAACTTTAAGATTGGTGTGATATCTTCCCTCTACAACAACATCTTAAATCCAAATGTGTGGCCGTCTAATATCATTGTGCGACCCTTTCGATTTTTTCAACCAGAAGCTGACCAAGGAAGTTCCAAATAGTGTTATACAGTCTAATGCCGAATATACATGCCAAAATCTGAATATATACTTCCAGAATATGGGTGGAATGCGCACAAAAGCTAAAGAAGTTGTTTCTTCACGTATGGATTATGACATATATATCTTTGTGGAAACTTGGCTTAATAGTAATTTCTTCAGTCAAGAATACTTTGATCCCAAAATTTTCCAGACTTATAGGAAAGACCGTGATGCTGAGAAAACTGGCCACTTCAAAGGGGGTGGTGTACTAATTGCTTTAAGGCGTAGCTTAAAGTCGCCATTTTTTGAAATGCTCAACCACCATACTTTAATTGACCAATTATGTGTGCGCGTTGTTGGCTCGTTCGGCTCTTTATTTATCTGTGTATCATATGTCCCACCTAACAGTTCAGATGAGTTATATAACTATCACATAGGGAATATCCCACACATCTATGAAAGTAATGGAAATTGTAATCTTTGCATTCTTGGCGACTTCAATCTCCCTGGCATTAACTGGGCATGCTTTCAAAACTCTGGGCGCCTTACCCCAACCAACGTTACTCGTTCGCATGAAATAAACTTTATTGATAGTCTTTTTATACGCGAGCGCACTTCTGCACAAGGGTATATTAATTTTGTTCACTTAATGGTTGTTTGTAGCAGCCAAAACGAATCGAGATAGATATAGACAAATGTATACATAAATGCTTAGAATGAATAGAGAAGTCGATTAAGCCATGTCTGTCTGTCCGTCTGTCCGCCCGTCCGTGTACACGATAACTCGAGCAAAAATTGAGAACGAAACGAAATTTGGTATGTAGGTTTCCAATAATCCAAGGTAGGTTGGTATTGAAAATGGGCGAAATCGGACAATAACCAAGCCCACTTCCCATATAACGGTAATTTCCAGAAATACGAAAACTGCGATATTTTAATAAGTACTGAAGATAATTCACTCAAAATTGATATCTACAATAATTTTCGNATGGGTGGAATGCGCACAAAAGCTAAAGAAGTTGTTTCTTCACGTATGGATTATGACATATATATCTTTGTGGAAACTTGGCTTAATAGTAATTTCTTCAGTCAAGAATACTTTGATCCCAAAATTTTCCAGACTTATAGGAAAGACCGTGATGCTGAGAAAACTGGCCACTTCAAAGGGGGTGGTGTACTAATTGCTTTAAGGCGTAGCTTAAAGTCGCCATTTTTTGAAATGCTCAACCACCATACTTTAATTGACCAATTATGTGTGCGCGTTGTTGGCTCGTTCGGCTCTTTATTTATCTGTGTATCATATGTCCCACCTAACAGTTCAGATGAGTTATATAACTATCACATAGGGAATATCCCACACATCTATGAAAGTAATGGAAATTGTAATCTTTGCATTCTTGGCGACTTCAATCTCCCTGGCATTAACTGGGCATGCTTTCAAAACTCTGGGCGCCTTACCCCAACCAACGTTACTCGTTCGCATGAAATAAACTTTATTGATAGTCTTTTTATACGCGAGCGCACTTCTGCACAAGGGTATATTAATTTTGTTCACTTAATGGTTGTTTGTAGCAGCCAAAACGAATCGAGATAGATATAGACAAATGTATACATAAATGCTTAGAATGAATAGAGAAGTCGATTAAGCCATGTCTGTCTGTCCGTCTGTCCGCCCGTCCGTGTACACGATAACTCGAGCAAAAATTGAGAACGAAACGAAATTTGGTATGTAGGTTTCCAATAATCCAAGGTAGGTTGGTATTGAAAATGGGCGAAATCGGACATTAACCACGCCCACTTCCCATATAACGGTAATTTCCAGAAATACGAAAACTGCG